ACAGGTGCTGGTGAAACGTTAGGAAACAAAACTTCCAGAACACGGCCACACAGCCCGGAAGACCCACACCAGCCATCAAATGTTCTGTTCTTATGACCAGTGTAAGCCAAATAGCTTTAAAATTGGTTGAGATTATAATGTAGATGTACCTGCAGTGGCAGAATCTTCCTATTATTTCTGTGCTTGTACCTTGTCTGCTTTTGGCCAAATCTGCCAATACAGGAATAATGGTTTTCTTGAATGCCGTAAAACGGTAGTCTTGAATAGCCAGAATAATAATTTCCACCATCCTGGGGCTGAATTGTTGCCTCTCGTTGTCGAGCTGGAGAAGGCGAGGGTCCCACCCCAGGGTCTGTCTCCCCATCCTGGTGGAAGATGCTGCGTATGCTTCTTGGAAGCTTTCAGGGCTATGGATATTCCCTTGGCCCCCTTCCCTGGAATTGTATCTCAGCTGTGCCAGTTTTGGTTGGCAATGCCATTATCCTGGAGAAATCTTCTGTGGCTGAGCCACTTGGATTTAGCAAAACTCTGCCAAGGCAATGCTGCCCATTTCCCTTTGGAGCTGGGCAGGTGGGTTCCCATTGGCAGGAACTCCTGCCTTGTTCTAGCTCCTCACATTCTCCCCTCTCTCTGAAGCCAAGTCAGCATGATGCTTCCCTCTTATTTCATATCCTGTGAATTGGGTGGGGCAGGTGTGTGGCTTAAGCTCTGTAGAGAATCAGGGAGAAATAGGCGAGAACCATTATACAAGCAAACCTGGCTGAAACTTCCCTTAAGTCCTGGGAAACAAGATAATATTTGAAAGAGATTCAGGCAGGCTCCTCCCTGGTTCACTGGGATGTAAGAGGGAGGGGCGGTAAATCAGGCCTACAAGATTCTGTTGTAGCCGATCTCAGTAAAATCAGAGTTCTGGTCCTCCTGTAGAGTCTCTTTCCAGATCTGGTCTGCCTGATCCCGGTGGCCGTTTTTTCCTTGCAGTGAAAGCAAATACAGCAGAAATGAGAATGGTGGGGTGGGGAGGTTGTCTGGAATGCTTATTTTTGCTCTTTCCTGTTGGCTGTGTGGAGGTGGAGAGAGCTCAGGTCTGCTCTAGCAGCTCCTCCTCAGCCAGCGGTGAGGACCCTGGTCAGATGGGGCACTTCGATTCAGAGGGCCAGGAGGGTAAAGGGCGGCTTTGTAAAAGCGTACCGTGTCTGTCAATCTGCTGGAAAACCTCTCGCCTTCCATGGACCTTGAGCAGTAAGAGAAGGTGCTGCACAGGTAGTCCTCAGTTAACGACCGCTCATTCACCGACCTTTTGAAGTTAGGATGGTGCTGAACGAGTGATGCTTAATGACCAGTCCTTGAAGTTGCAGCCATTGCAGCACCCCCACAGTCACGTGATCGTGATTTGCGCACTCGGTGACCGGCTCGCACTTATGATGGTTGCAGCATCCCGCGGTCACGTGATCGCCATTTGCAACCTTCCCTGCCGGCTTTCCACAAGCAAAGTCAGTGGAGAAGCTGGGAGGGAAGGTCACAAATTGTTCCCGCTCCCGTTGCTTTTTCTCCTGAGGAGTCTCACTAGCACACGCCCACCCGCAGCACCCCCTGCCTACACTCCATAGCACACGCCTGCCCACGCTTGCTCCAGGCTGTGGTACTTCTCCCCTGCCCGGCCGAGCTTTCGCCAGTCTGCAGCACGTACCTACGCGCTGGGCCACACTCCACAGTGCTCACCCCGCACCTGCCTGCACTTGCGCCATGCTGCAGCACCCCCCGCCTGGCCGCACTTGCACTGGGGCTCAGCACGCATTGCCCGCCCACACTCCGTAGCACTCATCCCTCACCGGCCTACTTGCAAGCCACCTAAGGAAAGGCTTGTCGTGACCGGGACTTGCAACTTCCTGCTGGCTTCCCCACTGACAGGGGCAGAATTCCCAGGCCCACCGTAAGTGGGCAGTTGCCCCTGTTTCACCGCCGGAGATGTGAGAGGCAGCCTCCCCGTGCAGGACGTCCCATTTCCCCAGTGCTCTGATTCATTTGCTAAACGTGTTCTTGCCTCCAGCTCCTGTTCCAAGAGAAGAACCCGGGTGTCCGCTATCAGTACACCGTCCAGCAGGAGTCCAAGAATCAGAATTCAGTTGCTCCAGCTGAGTTCTTCTGGCACTACGGACCCTGGACAAGATGCACAGCTACGTGTGGGACAGGTGAGGAAGTCTTCCTTTCCTGCTGGGGGCAAGCTGCTTTCTCTGTGGGGCGAGCAGTAGCAGGAATGGTCCTGTTGCCGTCACACTGGAACTGTTCTTGCATCGGGGCAGCCCAGAAAAGCAGGGGGCCGAAGGGGCCCAGTTGAGCCAAAGTCCAGCCCCGTCAGCGCTTTTATAAAATAACAGTCAGGACCAGGGTAGGAGTCCTGAATCTCAAGTGACGCAGTCCTAGGAACAGGATCTGCTCTTGAGGCGCCAGACCCAGGTCAAATCTTCCACAAGGCAGCGCAGGAAGATTTAAGTCCGAAAAAATACTGCTACCCTCAAGAAGACCCTAATGCTTGCGCTACAAGGCGGAGGGCGTGTGGCTCAGGCTGAAACAGTCTGCCCAGGGTTGGGGGCATTTCCTTTAGTTGGAACTGGCTGTGCTGGCCTGCCAAAACGGCTCCTGATGCCGGGTGCTGGGGCGCAACCCAGTCTCAGGCTGCATCCAAACCGACGGAGGAAGGGCAGCTCTGAGGGCTGCTGGGATGCTGAGGGTGGAATTCAAAGTATTTGACAATGCCAGGATGATTGCCCTGCCAGGTGCCATTGGCTCATGATTGTGGCCAGTCATTCCTCATGGTTAGCGCACCATGTGTCTTCATTGTCTGCCGGGGAAGATGGCGGGGCAGCTGGGAACCCTAAAGTCAGATTCCTGCTCTGGAACTGAATGTACAGTATTAAAGCAAGAAAAAAATGCACACATTCATTCTTGGCACCCCTTGGCTGTTGCTGCACGTGGCTTCTCCGGATTTTTCTGTACATGCTCATAGGAAACGTGAGCCTCATAGTAATTTAAGAGTTAGTCCAACTGGTTTGTGTCCAGAAGTGGGGGCTTGGTGTAGGATTCTTCATTCCTTGGAGCCTGCCAATCCATTGTCCTGTGTTTGGTGCTGTTTAAGAGGCCGTGACAGTCAGAGGCAAACAGCTTGTCTTGGCGAGCAGCTCTGACTTTCTGCTTCCACACCCGCCTATTTGCAAGGTCACTGGACATGAGCTGTGGCCTTCTGAGAGTCAGAACATTGATGGGAGAAGCAAGCAGCAGAGCCAACAGACCTCCCAGTGGCAGGCTTTGCTGCTTTCCATGTGTAAATGCTTTCTTAGGAAAAGACTGTACGCTCTGAGTCATGTCTGACCAGGGACTGATGAGGAAAGAAAGCTTGGAGTAATGGCAAACAGTTTAATTAAGGTGTCCACAGGGTATGCATCTGCTGTAAAAAAAGGCCAACAGCATGTTAGGGATAATAAGAAACGGTATCGATTATAGAGATGCCAGTGTCATAATGCCATAAACTGACGGTGTGACCGCATCTGGAATATTATGTGCACTTCTGGTCACCCCACCGCTACATAGTGGAGAGGTTTAGAGGAGGGCAACTCAGATGATCGAGGGGCTGGAAAGGCTTCTTAATCAAGAAAGGAGGCAAATGAAAGGGGAAATGATTGAGGTGCATACAATTATGCATGGTGTGGATAATGTGGGGAAGAAGAAGCTGTTTTCCCCTTCCCATAATACTAGAACCAGAGACCATCCAATGAAATTGAATCCTGAAAGAATCAGGGCACACAAAAATATTTGATTTTTTTTTACACAACATGTAATTCAACATTGGAATTCACTACCATGAGATGTTGTGCTGCCTACCAGCTTGGCTGGCTTTACAAAAGGGTTGGATTCAATTCATGGAAGTCCTGGGGATCATCGGCTATTAGCCTTGATGGGGTGTGACTGCCTCTGAAGGCCATTTGCTGGGAGACTTGTCGGCCTCCGTGGGCAGTTGGTTGGCCACTGGGAGAACAGACTGCCAGACCAGGTGGGCCAGGGGTCCGATCAGGCACTGCTCACATTCATATAGCTACAGCTGAGAAATACTGCAACTGGTCTCTTGCATCAGCTGGAGGGCTTTATACAGAGGGACCTTAAAGTTCCATGGATCCTATAAGCCACAGATGCAACAAACAGGGATTTGGGGAAAGACCTGAAACGTGGGTGCTCTCTGGGACTTGGCAGCTAGTTTGCTTGCCACATGTCTCTGGGTTTCTCTCTCTCTTTTGAATGCCATTTATCTGAAGACCCTTTTTGCTTACAGTGGTCACTCTTCATTACTTCTCTGTGGTGCAGTAGAAGATGTCATCACTGTCCTTTGAGATGGCTTGTAGGACCACCCGCTTCTGATGATTCGATAGGGTTGCTCTTGAGCAGCAGGGAGCTGGAATCAACCCATGGCCATACCAGAGTCCTCATGGGCTGTTTGAGTGCTACCCCTTGAAGCATATAGCTTGTCTGACCTATGTAGCTCATCTGAATCCATGCTCAGATAGGCACTCTGGCAAAGTGCAGCTCCTCGCGCTTATCCTTTGGTGGTATGGATGGTGTGAATGGCTGTCTTTTGGAAGGAAGCTGAATAAGTGGTCGATTCACTCCCAGCTGTGCAACCTCTCCCATGGTATTGCTCACCTTATGTCCTCCAAGTTCTGGAGCAGAGAGGATGGGAGAAGGGGTAGAGGGACTTAGGCTGTCTACCAAGTCACATGAAGGTGAAATCTGGGCCTGTGTGCAGAGAGCAAGCTGAGTGCCAATAGGGATGCAAAACCTTTAAAGGGAGTGGGCGCAGTCTAGCCATGGGCAAACTGAAGACCCTGTGCTCTCCCTCTTATCTGGGGCAGCTCCTGAGATAGAATTAGTAGAGGCTGCAGTGATTCAACTGAGGACTTGATCATCCAAAGCCGGCAGTGGTGCTGCAAAGGCTGAGAGAAACAACTCAAACTATTTATGGCTTATCAGAATTAAGAATAGCTGTTTACACCATCTTAGAAAGGAAACATAATGCATGTGTTTGGATCCAGGACAAAGGCAGCCAAATGGGGGATGACGAACACTGTCAAACAGCTTCTTCTGTAACTGAACTGAACTGAAAGGGAATGTTTGGCAACCAAACAGATTTTTAGTTTCCTGCCAGCAATTAGAGCTGCCAAAAATACATCAGATTTTGGCCAGTGGCCTTCCTACTGGGAATTCTCCAACATCATGACCCCCTAGGAATATTTCCTCTTCGCTGGGCCAACATGCATTCTTCACCTCTAGGGAAATGTGTGTGTTTTGGCTGCTGTCTATGAAGCACTTATGGAAGGAGATGCATTTGTCAGACTAACTTGTCAAGAAGTAGCTGGCAGCAGGCAGAAGAGCTGATGCCCTGTGGTCAGTCTTCCCATTCAGTGAAGCAGCAGCAACCCAGCAAACCTTGCTCAGCAGCAAGCAGGGCAGAGCATGGCCTGGGATTGCGATAGGAAACGGGCTTTTTTTTACACAGCCCTACTGGTTGGAGAGCAGCTTAAGAAAAGGTGTCAGCTGGTTCCTCTGGAGGTATTCTAAATGCACTTCAGAAATCTAAGGTTCACCACTGGCTTTGGACCTGAATTGGCATTTATTCACAGAATTGTTCCCTGCATGCTTTGTGGGGGACTAAGCCCAATATGAATTTAATGGGTTTATTTTGTGGTAAATCTGTTTACAAGCTGGACTAAAAGAGCCAGTTTGGTTAGTGGTAAAGATGCTGGACTAATAGCAGAGAGACCTGGTTCAAGTTCCACCAGTGAATAGAGCCTCCTGTTCCACGAATGTGAGCAACTGGTGCATGAGACAAATCCATAGGAGGGCCTCCTGGCCACAGCTGCCACCTACTCTTTAAGCAGAAGTTAGCAGAAGCCATGAGTTCAAGAGGACCCCCAGGTTATATACCAAAGCTGCCTGGGGCAGAACAACCCTATCAGGTTTCAGAGATGAAAAATCACAATATCTAGGGGGGCCCAAAACTCAGAGCCCCTTGTTTTTACCAGGGTTGAGTTGTAACCTGCTCTTCCCCATCCAAACTGTCACAGCCTCCAGGCACTGGGTAAGGTCTTTGATAACTTGTATGGCCAGGGATGGAAATATATAACTGAGTATCATCAGCATATGATGATATTTGTGCCAATGGATGTCTTCACCCATCAGTTTCATGTAGCTATTGAATAGGAATGGGGAGAGAGTTGAGCCCTAACGTACCTCACATAAGGGGGGTCTAGAGTAAAACCTCTCCCCCCATGACAACATCAACTGGAACTGGCCTCAGAGGAAGGAGGAGGACCACTGCAAAACAGTGCCCCCACTCCCAACTACTGAAGCCAATCCAGAATGATACCATGGCTGATGGTGTCAAAAGCTGCTGAGAAATCCAGGAGGGCACGAATGGATGCACCATCCCTGTCTCAAGCCCTCCAAAGGCTATCTGCAAGTGCAGTCAGTTGCATCTCTGAAACCCAGCTGAAAAGGGTCCAGATAATTTGCTTCCTCCAGGGTCCCCAACACAAGTAGCAGAGCTCACAGCTCCAGGGACCCTGTCTACTTCTTCAGGGCTAATTAGGTAAAACTAAGCCCAGATAACTGGACAAGACCGTGTCTCAGTCACTCTGAGCAGATCCAAGCAACTTTGTCCAACATATCCCTAGAATAGTCTTCAAAGCAACCCTGGAAGGGCTAACCTGGTCACCTGAAATAGGGCTGCTGGCCGGCTATCTCCAGGTGCAGTAAGAGTGGCGAAGCAGTCCTGCTTCGCCACTCTTATCTTGACCAGGTAAGTCCTAATAAAGGTTTTTACCTGTGCTCAATCCAATTTGCTCTTCGTTTTCCAATCAGGACAGAACATGCTGTTGCAATCTCATTTTTCTGACATGTCCCCATGATGCTCCCTTCATCTTGTCTCAGTCATGAGTAAGAAAGGCTTCCATCATCCTTGGCTGAACTGAATTAGTGCTTTCCCCTTATTCGGACGCCGTTGAAGTGCAGTCTTGAGATTCTGTAAAATTTGACATGGTTCACTGACAAAATGAGCCATGGGGGGTCAGGTGACCCACAAGAGTGAGATCAGCCAGGACTTACTGCCCATTTCAGGCTAGGTTTTACACATTGGATGTGTAAAACTTGTCCACAAGTATGGGGGGCTGCTTTTCCAATTCTCCAAAATGTTGGGGACTTCCTTCTGTCTGATCCTCCCTTTTTATTCTCAGGGGGGTGCAAAAAGGAACTTCGAAATTCTTTCGAAACTTCTACTGCTTGTGAAAGTTACACAAAATTGCTAAAGCTGTACTGTACCTGCTGTGCTGTGCACAGTATGTCTGGGCGGATCCATGACTCTGGGTGTGGTTTAGCTCCTCCACAATCCCGATCATTTCCTAGTCTTTTGTCGTCGTTTATCAAGAAAAAAGGCAAAGAAGCTTATAGTCATTGAACCCTGTCACATTCATACAACCATAGAATGTAACAGTTGGGAAGACTAAATGTCTCCATTTAGACCAGTGTTTCCCAACCTTGACAACTTTAAAACGTGTGGACTTCCCAGAATTCCCCAGTCAGCATGGCCATTGCTAAATTGATGAGGAGGAATTGATGTCCACACATCTTAGAGTTGCTGAGCAGACCAACCCTTGCCCAGTCTAGGCATCCTCTACTATAGCATCCCTTTCACCTGGCCAGCCAGCCAGCCAATCTTTAAACACTTCCAACAAAGGAGAGTCCACCACTTCCCAAGGCAACCCGTTCCATTGTGGGGCAGCTCTTCCCCTTAGGAAAGTCTTGATGTCCAACGAAAACTGCTTCCTTGTCATTTTAAGCCCCTTATTTCTTATCCTGTCTTCTGGAACAGCTATGAACAAATCTGCTCCACCTTCTGCATGACAGCCCTTTAGATACTTGAAGGCAGCGACCATATCCCCATACAGTCTTCTCTTTTCAGGCTAAACACATCTAATGCCTCCAACATTCATTGTAAGCTTATTCTTCTAGCCTCTTGCTATTTTGATTTATGTTCGCTGGACACATTAATTTATCAACATTTTTCCTAAAATGGAGTGCCCAGAACTGGTTTCAGTGCCCTGGGTTCAGTCTGGTCAGAACAGAACAGAGAACTTTCCTTGATCTGGACACAGTATTGATGTAATTTAGGCACCTGCACCCCTCTCTCCCTCTCCTTCTCTCCTTCTCTCTTTCAGCTTTAGCACAGTCTTGGCTCAACTTCAGCTTGTGATCTATTAAGACATCCTGATCTTTTTCACATGTACTGTTTCTGAGTATGATTCCCTAACCCCATCCTATTTGTGTTCCTTTAATTTTTCCTACTCAAAGTTAAAAGTCCATCATGTCTACTGCTTTTCCCTGGTCATGACTCCCCTGATCTCATGTCAGTTTTCTACCAATTCAAGAATAGGTGAGGGGACATCAACTCACACACTAGAGCTAGGCACAGCGAGAAAGAGTCTGTTATTGGATTATTTAAATTTAATTTATTAACTTTAAGTTATATGGTTTGTTAAGCACATATTATTTATTAATCCATACTATGTCTGTACTTGGCTTGTTCTAATTCTAACCTGACTTTTGATGACTTCAGTCCCCCAATCCCCCATCATGTCTGTCTGAATGGCTCCTTAACTACAACATCCTGAGACTCCGCACTTCCCTGCTCCCCTTCCTTGAAGCTGGGAGGCTCTTGGCTATTTGCAGTGTGTGTGGAAAGCAAACCCTTTGGTAGACGTGAACCCTTAAATTCCTCAAAAGGCCCTTGCGCTGGGCAGCAACTGAAGCAACAACCTGTGAAAAAGTGGGTGTTGGGGGGGGAATGAGATAGAATTTAAGACCCACAAAGGAAAGGAGTGTAACCCAGCATACATGAAAACCACTTCTCTCTGGAAACTTGGAGAGCTACTCCAAGTCAGGGTTTAATCCTAGGTTCAGATCTGCTTGAAATGAAAACTAAAGTTTCTAGTTTATCACAGTTTGTAAGTCATGGGGGACTCAGATTTCTCTCTGTGGTTTTTGCTCACAGGCGGGAACCACAGCACAGCCCAAAAGGGTTTTGCTCCGTTCCCAGATAAGCCACGCCCAACATGTATCCTTGGTCCTTGGCATGTGCCTGTGTGCCCAAATTAAGCATCCTGGCTCTTTCCTTCCTTCCTTCCTTCCTTCCTTCCTTCCTTCCTTCCTTCCTTCCTTCCTTTGCTCTCAGGGGTCCAGAGGCAGATGGTGCGCTGCCTTGAGAAAGCTGCTGGGTTTGTGGAGGAGCGGTACTGTGATGCTCTTAGCCGGCCTGATGACAAGCAGAGGAATTGCAACGAGGAACCATGTCCAGCCAGGTCAGCTCTTGAGCTTCCCCAAAGCTATTCAAACTGTAGGATGCTATACCATAGAAAAGAAAAGCTCTGCCCGATAATACCTGTCTGGGAGAAGAATGCTGCTCTGCTCTGCAAATTTTGCAGAACTTGGGGCCCAGTTATAACCTGAGGATGGGTCTCTGTGGCAGCACTCCATTGAGGTCAGTGGCTCCAGAAGCCATATTCACTGGTAAAGTGTGTGTTTGTGCGTGAAGGACCCAGCCGTAGTCTCCTGAACAAGTGGTCTCAGACAGCACCAAGACCAAGCCACCACCTGGACTTTTGATGATGAGTTCAGGCACCTGTGTGTGCTCAGTCTAAGAGAATGGAACAGCTCAGGATGTAGCAAAAGGGTCCAGAATTGATGCTGTGGAACTCCTGACCTAACCCTTTCATTCTGGGTGTTTCCACCAGGTGGTGGGCGGGCGAATGGCAGGCATGTTCTGCCACTTGTGGTGACTCTGGACTGATGAAAAGGACTGTCCTCTGTATTCAGAGTGTGGCCCTGGATGAACAGCAGGCTCTACAACCCCACAAGTGCCAACATCTCACCAAGCCAGAGACCACAGCCCCATGCAACCGAGAAGTCCTTTGCCTGGCACAGTGGGTCACAGGCAACTGGTCAAAGGTGAGAGAATGACGGTGCAAAATTTATAGGAACCTTGAGGTGTTAGGAAGAAGGACAGAGGCCTGGCAGGAACTTGTGGGTTTTCTACTAGCCCTTTTGGGCCAGTTTATAGAATCCGTCACTCTGTCTTTTTGTCCTTGAGCCTCCCCTTCCAAGACAGGACGTGATCTCTGCGCTTCTCTGCTTGGGCAAAATGTTGATCAATAGGGTGCAACTGGTTTTGCACTGTGGGTTGTTTTGAGTTTTGCAAATCTCTCTGTTTTCCCTCAGCAAAGCAGCTTGCTTTCTTCCAGATAGCAGATAATTCTCTCTCCTTAGCTAGACATTTCTTTCCAATCAAGTTATTGTGCCTTGACCCACAATCAAGTTTTATCTTCTGTAGACCAAAGTTAATTTTGAAACCAAAAGATCGGAAACTTGAGGGAGGTGGCTAGCTTCTTTTTTTCCCAGTCTTTCCTGCATGGGGCAAGTGCATTCATCTAGCAATAACTCACTTTTGGAATTTCCCCGGTTTGCTTTTCTAGTGCTCAGTGACCTGTGGGAAAGGAACACAAAGGCGTCCAGTTTTCTGCCCCACTGATACCAGAGCCAAGTGTGATCCAGCAGAAAGACCAGTCTCCGAGATCGACTGCGTGTTCTCACCCTGTTGGAATAAGATAGAGAACAGTATTCCCGACTGGTCTGGAAGTGGCTCTTCAAGCCAGGAGCTATTTAATGAAATTGGTTTTATCCCCAGTTATCATGCCCCCAAATTTAGTCCTTCGATTCCCAAATCTGCAAATGTTATTACAGAAGAAGTTCTCCCCCCCAACAACCATAAAAAGGGAAATGTGTTTGTGGATGACTTTTACTATGATTATAATTTTATCAATTTTCATGAGGATCTGTCTTATGACCTGGTTGAGGAAAAGAGCAGTAGAAGGGAGGACTTGAAGCCCAACTTTGGGGTCAAGACTCCTCACGTGACGGAGGGGGGTCCTCAAGAAATGCTTCCTGATTTTCCTCCAATCACAGAGCCAGAAGTCAAGTTAGCTAATCAAGGCACCACATCTCCCACTGCTGGGCAAGAACATGGGAAGGACCATGATAATGTTCAGGATAGTAGCACAATTGGCACCTCGCAGGATGCTGTTGGTACAGCAGTTGTCACCAGCTCTTCTGCTTCAGATAATAGGAAAGGCTTCCAGCCATCGTTTTTGGAAGATCATCCATCCACTTCAACAGTGAAGCATCTTCCTTTTGGCAGCAACAAACCTGTATTTGGAGATACTACTCAAGAACCTCCTTTTACAAATACTGTTTTGAAAGACAGCGCAGTAAGATCTGATTCCTCCACCAGCTCTCCTTACTTGGCTGTACTAACTCCAACAATGTCTTCTGCCAAGGACAACTATTGGAGAAGTGAATTTGGTGCTCTTGGCAGCACAGAAAATCCTGACAGAAGGATGCAGGACCCCAAATTTCCTGAACTCAGTGATAGCCATGATAATGATTTGTGGAAAATGGCAGAAGAAGGCAGCAGAAAGCAAAGTAATAGAGACAGAGCCTTTGTTAATGGTGAAGATAATATGGCTACTGCTTACTCAATTAAAGAAAACCAGGTAAATGCAGTTACAACTGCAAGAATAACTGGGGCACCCTATCATCTTACCCATCATCTGTCTGCTTCTGCTGAAGCTGCTTCTGCTGTTTCCGCTCGGGATGCAGAGATGAGTAGCACCTTGGGACGTGGCCAGGCCCATAAATCAAATACACAAACCCATCTCCAAAAAGTACCGTCACTCACAACTGAGCTTCCATCATGGGTGTCTTCCTTCACTTCTGCATACCAGTTGTCTGGATTCAGCAAAAAGACACATACGTTCCATCATCCAGGCACTCTGACCCCACAGATACCAGCTGAATCCAACTCTTTGGATCGGGGCTCAACTTTTCCCAACTTTTCCCCTTCTACATTACTTCCTCCAAAACAGAAGCAATCTAATGAGATTAAGACAGACTTGGACACTAAGCCTGTATCTTCCACTGAGGACCGAGGATTCTCCAGGGACAGAAGTGAAAGCCCATCTCCCCATGTGATAACCAGTAGTAGTAAAGGAGGTACTGGGTCTAGCCTTGTGAACGTGAAATTTCAGGAACTGGAAGAGAAGATGCTATCTTCTGTAGCTCCTCCTGCTGCTGTAATGGCTACTCTCAGTGCTAGCTGGGAAGCTGGAAACTGGAGTGAGGTAAGTTCTCAGGAAAGCCAGTGATATCATCACTGTGGGCAGATCTCTTCTCTGGCCAATCTTTGGCTTCTCCCCTTTTCTCCCTTCTTGCTAAAATTCTTTTTACCGTGTGGGTCACTTTGTGGACTAAAGCAGGTAGATGAATTAGTGGGACTGTAGAAATATAGCTGGGTCTCCTGTCTTGGCTTTGAAATCTGTCTCCTCTCCTGGCCAGCTGTGAATTGTAGGCCGGGGAAAAGGCAGGTGGGAGTGGGATCCACGGGGGGTGGGCTGGTGTCTCAGAGTTTCCCGCAGAGGCCAGAGGGAGAGGGAGTGCAGCTTCCTTTTGGAAAACGGAACAGGAAAGAGGCTGATGGGATCCTTCTTGTTTCTAGTGCTCTACAACCTGTGGCCTCGGGGCTGTGTGGAGGGTGGTGCACTGCAGCACCGGAAACGAGGATGACTGTGACTCGACCAGAAAGCCAGCCCCTGCCCGGCGATGTTATCCGAGGCCGTGTTCCAAGTGGCGTGTTGGAAAATGGAGCAAGGTAGGCAGACCTAGTCCCAACAAAGCCTTACGTGCATCCTTTTCCTGTGGATTCATCCTTTTGCTTTAGGCTGCTCTGCCAAGTCGGCCCCCAAGTCGACAGGGGTTTCAGCTAGCTCTCCCTCCCTTTTGATCTTAGATTTCATGAACAGAAGCTGTCTGTCAGGCTCAAGAGTCCTCCTGGTTCTTGCTCCTGCCCTTTCCCAACACACACTCTCCTCCTCGTGAGCATTGCCAGCAAATGATGCAAACACAGGGTGTTTTCTGAACAGAGGAGATGTTTTTCACAGGGCATCCCTGATTCATTCTCTGGCACTGACAAGATAGGAGGTTTGGAAAATCCTCCAGGCCGAGGGCAAATGTTTCTGGCCAGAAGTGGCTTTGCGACTGGGCCAGATGTGCATTGTTTTGTGTGTGTTTTTTTAAATTGGACTTAGGCAAGGCCGCTTGCAGTACTTCAGGAGAGAAATGTACTATGCCCCATTCTGAGGGGAATTGCCAAACCTTGACTGCGTCCAGAGCGAGGGTCTGATTAACTAACACCTGTGAGGAAGGTTGGCAGGCGCTGGAAATTCTGGCTGGCAACCAGATACTTAAGTACTTGATGTGAGAGTCAGCCTAAAGGACTGGAAGATCCCTCAAGCAGGAACCGGTATAGACAGTTTTGTGTAGACCTGCCTTTGGATACTTCCAAAATAAGCAGTGAGCAGAAATGGCAAGAAAGCAGCTTCCAGCCAACTCTTTGGGAAACCTCCTAGCCGTAAAGTTGATTCAGTGGAGGAGCAGATGGCTTTCAGAGGAAGGGGGTGCTGTTGCCGGCCGTGCTTAAGCAGAGGTCGAGCGGCCGTCTGCAGGGGCGCTCTGCTTCCATCCGGTATTGCCAGTCCTGCACTGAGCAGAGTCTGGACCACCTGGCTTTGACTTTGTCAGTATCCCAAAGTATCAGTGGACTCGCAGTATCAGGGCAGACCAAACTGGCCTCTTGTTCTTGACGGTCAGTTGCTGCTTTCCGCTCTACGTCTGGAGGAGGCGGCTTATTTTCTGCTCTTGTGTGCTGTATCTGGTTTCCCACCAGTGCTCCAGGACCTGTGGAGGAGGCGTGAAAGTTCGGGGCATCCACTGCATTGACACCCGTGGCCAGCGACCTCTGCGACCCTTTCACTGCCAGACTGCCGTATACAAGCCTCCAACACAACTGCCCTGCCACACTAAGCCGTGTCTGAGCTGGTACACGTCCGCCTGGAGAGAGGTGAGCCAAACGTCTGTGGACATGGGGGAAGACTGTCAATACAACCTGACCCTCATTCGCTAGCCCTGTCCCCCGACACACACGTGCGAGGTAAAAGTCAAACGGCCTTGCTGGATTGGCTGGAATGCTACATAGGGCTGAGTCTTGCGCTCTGCGGCTTTTATTCATTGTTACTGTCCTGCTGAGTGATTATTCACTCTGAAGGAAAGTTCACGGCATTCGCCCCATTTCCTCTGTAGCCTATAAATCAGTGTTGTCCAAACTTGGCCACTTTAAGATGAGTGGACTTCAACTCCCAGAA